ATTCTTTCTCGTGCCTGCGCGTCTTCGAGCACTTGTCTCTCTTATCTCAATTGTCTTTATATCACATCGTATCTTTTCATCATGCTCGCGTCTTTCCCCCGGGACTCGTCATCTTTTCTGTATCGTTCATGTATTCAATCGTTTCTGTGTTTTCATTCTCTCTGTCGCATTGCTTCCCCGCGTTTTAGTACCTCCCATCCTTGCTTTCCTCCCATTAGAGCTATTCGATCTTATAGCTTTGGCCTGCTTTTTTCCCTCAACCAAACAAACTCACGAACTCATAGCTGATTGTGCGAATACACTTCTCTTCCTGAGCAGGGCAGTATGAAGATTTGCAAGCCTACACATGCCTATAATGTCGACTGGTATGTCTGCGTTTTTGGCCCACCATCCATCTGACGCCTATCATAAATGGACAAATGTCGCTTCATATTGAATTCATATATCTTGCTCAAGTTTTTCCCATGTCTACTCTGTTTAGCTAGACGGCCTTTTCTCCCTACTGGTGCGGGCATGTTCGAGCCTCGTTCTCCCGCATGATCTTAGGTGCCGCCCGCTGGTCAGGGTTCATCCTGTGAGTGCGTGTATGCAACTTGTGAGCCAGTCGCGCTCACGTGAAGCAGCAGCATCATTTCTTGCGTATCATGCTATGCGTCTTCCCAATGACCTAGTACAAAACATGTTACATGCAAGTGCGTATTATGCGTGGTCAGAATCAACCGCGGTTGCCAAGCGAGTTTTGCGCTCCTCCTTTGACGGACATCATCACATGCCCGTCTTATGTTGTCTGTCCGCTATTTTTACTTTGTCTATCAGCCGGCAGGCCTAACTCCCTTCGGTCGCCATGTGGGGTGTGAATATACTCCGGGGGGGTTGCACTTACAGAGAGGTTGGATCGGCCTTGTCCGTTTTGCGTATGTGCACTGCGGGAGTCTCTTCCACGACTAGCAGTGCCTTTCGCATCAGCCCATTTATCCGGTCTGTGCGCATCCTGGTGAAGCGGCGAAAGAATTTTGATGACCCTACCTATCTCGACAACTGATTCTCCGCACCGTCTGTATTCGTTTTTTTTGCCCCTGAATTCGAACATGTATTTAAAGGCGCGCGAAACCATGTCAGGAACGTCACGCATTCTTTGAGCAACATTGTCATTGTGCCTGCACCTTTGAGTCGCTCGTGTCTGTCATCATGTTCCTTTCATATCCAATACGTGTTTTATTTATTTTTACACTGAGCTGCGTGATCATGACAGTGTAAGTGGGTTACTCGTTCAAGCCGAAGCGTGGCGTAACTGCGTCGAAAAGGACGGATGTAAATAACCACAAAGCTCTACTGAATGGAATTGCAGCCAAGTACGCACAATATGCAAAAAACTTTCACCGGAACACAGGGAAACACACAAGGGCTGTGAACTCGACAAAGCTGATGAAGCGTGGGGGAACACGGCATCCGTGCAACTGCTAGAGGAGTACTGGAATGCACGACTCGAGTTTAGATCAAAGAAGAAAAGGCTGTATGTTGAGTTTAACAAGGGGTCACCGGACGTGGCTATGATCCATCGTCCTCGTCGACGGCGAAAGACCTAAAACGACATTTCATGCGGGATGCGAGTCAGCGTGTACGGATGAGAAAGTGTACACGGACAGCTTCACGATCAGAGGGATAGAAGCGAAAGATGTGTGATTCAGCGTGTCGGACAATGCGTTCCTAAGCATGAACAAGGGGCGCAGGGCTGTGGTCGGATTCTTCTGGCCGGTGCTGAGCTCGCACAAATCGTCAAAATTGACGTTCTACGAAGCATTCAAAGAGCAGGGTATTTTGGAAAGCAATATGTACCAGTTTACGATCAAGTCGGGCACGAGCTCACAACTCGACGAGGGATACATTGACGACACGCGATTTCTCAGGAAGTCACGGGTGAGCGAGCGTGAGTCCAAGACAAATGTATTGGAAGACGTATGTTAAGCATCAATCGGAATGAGTGCACGGGGATTATCGACACGGGTACAATAATCCTTGTGGTGAGTAATGAGAAAATGAGGAACTTGTTGAGCAAACTGAAATGAGTGAAAGTGAAGCACGGCGAGGACGGGAGTCATCAGGGATGGTATGATTGGCACCATCCGCCTGATATCAAATTCTGAGCGGGCAGGAAGAACCTGATGATGAGTGAAAACACGATGAAGTACTGGCAGGGGGGGGGGCGATGAATGCCGACTGCCGTTTGCTGGACTGGACGGGTTCTCAGAATGAATCTTTGGGGCGCTCTTCTTGGGGATGGCCTCTGTTGTGTTTCATTGTTACAATGCACTACTTGGGTTTGCTGCGCAGTAGCGGAGGTGAAGAAGGACATGGTGTGCTTGCACCAGGAGTTCAAGAAGTATACGTTTCGCTTGAGGTGTCCCCCACATTTGGGACTATTTATTCGTGAGAGATTAAGCCGCTGTACAATAGCCGCATACATCAGAATTGGAGTACTGGTTAATGAATGTAACGCTTGTTGGAGTCTATCGTGCATGGATTATGATTGCCACCAGCGCGACTGTCGTGGAGGATCTAACCCCTAGTGATTGTCATTGCTATTTTCATTCTTTGTATGAGTCGCACTTACCGTACAACCGAGACAGACCTAGACACACTCTACCCACACTGTCCGCACACGATCACCTTCCACATGTTCCTCCCTCCCTCTCTCCCACCAGCTGGCGTGCTCGAGAGAGTGCGACACACATACACTCTCGCACAATGGAAGCAGTCGGAAATCGTTGCGTGATCTGATTTGGCATGATTTATCCTAGTTCCATAGTGTTTTGCCTGGTTTCAGCTCTCATGTCCGTGTAGAATTTGTTTCGAAGAGCTTCGATCGTGTGTCGAGTCAGCCCCATGTTTCTCATACGGCCCACATAATCGGCACCATCGTCCAAAACCATCCTTTTTCACACGATTTCCGTGTACCAATCTTCCCAGCAACAGTTTCATTTATTCAATGGCTGATGTAGCATCCCCTTCAACGTCTTTCTCATGCGTCCCAGCTAATGTGCTTACAACCTGCTGTGCCCATCCATCCATCCTCCTTACTTGAACAATTTCTATACCCGTTAAGAATACGCGAGCATGTGCCTCCTATCACACTGCTATACACACATGCAAAACATGCGACCCGACAATGCGCAGCGGCGCTGGCTCCAAAACATCGTATGAATCCATTTTCGGTGGCGAATTAACCAGACGCGTGTCGACTATTTTGCGCGCCGAAACGCTTACCTAGTATCATAACCTTAGCTTCGCACTTGACCGCATTCAACAAGATTGGCTCCTTGCATATCGTCTTTTACCTTGCGTCGGTTATTACAAAGCCATCCGACTTCGATGTAGTTGAGGTGCTATTTTGGGAACGTTGCAGTCTGCCAAGCCTATCGCGTGAATTTAATTCTAAAAATTTAAAGGGCCAGCGCAACACCAGGCTTTCACGTGTTGGCTAGCTATAATAAGAACGCTTTTCATTCGTCATGAACACGTGAGGCATGCTGCATGCCATATTTTTAGTGACGTGTGACGAGTCATATCAGAGAAAATGCGATATTGGAGAATCTGCTATACACGAGCTTGAGAATAAGAAACTTCATGAACCAACGAGGGAGAAAACTAGGGGGTAACCCATGGTAAATCGCGTCTACCGTGAAAATGAAGAATATTGGTTCATTAAGAAGAAAGCACTAACGCGATTGTTCTTGTTCGTGTATAAAACGGGCTTATCCGTGTAAGTAAGAAGTTCGGAAAAAAATCCCCTTGTTTGTCCGCTGGTCATTGCTTAAATACGGAGATGCAATTATATCTATCCATTGTCGTCATGGTACTGACGCTGGTCATGGCCACTGCTACAGCACCTGTAAATCCGGCTCCAAGACCGACGTTCATGCCGGGGCCGTTTATACCACCTGCGTCATATACGGGTTACAACCCATTCAAGTCGCTTTCATGACAATCACATCGGACATCTGAACATACTGGGTGCCAGAAAGAAAGCAAGAGTTGCATGCTTCGTCGCACTGCTCGACCATGAGTACCGTGTCGGACAATGTACCTTGAGCACTTTTTGCGATGAAGAGTAACGGAGGTATACCCCTACCGCAGGTGTGTGGTTTATGACAACGAGATGAGATAATTAGCATATACCCCGTTGATGTTGTATTGTAGCTGGATATATTCACGCATAATTGGAAAGGTTATTATGTACTTGAGATCATGGTTTTGTCTGCTTATTTTATTCTGAAGACATTTTTCAATTCGTATATGACCTCTTCACGCATCTAAATCGAATCGACTTTTTTGTCTCTGTCTGCTCCCATGTTTCGCGTGATTCAGCTCTTCATCTACTCTATTTATCTGTCTCGTGTTTTCGTATCCTACTCCCTCAATTTTGTTATTTTACAACTCAAGTCAACCGCTCTTTCTTTTTGAATTTTCTTGCTGTTCAGCCTACCGTACTTCTCTTGTGTCTCTCTCGTCCTTCATGTGCATCTTTTACTCGTACACCCGTCATTCCTGCCTTGTTCTGGTATTTCTCTCCCCGCATATGCTTTGCCTGGTCCTGTCGTATTTTTTAACTCTTAATGTCTAGGTTGATGCTATGCTCTTCGAGTAGTGCATCCTCAAGGGCCAGCAATTCTGCTCTTATTCAGCCACACCTGCCTGTTTCAGCCCATACCGTAAATTGAATCCTATAATACAAATGCATTCTACATTCGAATAGGAGCAAGACAGCAGAGAGGCCTTGCCCCTGGCCCTCCCTCATCGAGTGGCTGCTCCTGCACGCGGTAGTACTCCATACTCTGTTCCCTGTACGATTGTGCTCTGTCGGGGCTGCTCTGTGCTAAGGGCGATGCACGTCTTTGCCCCAGGGGACTATCAGGCATCTTGCACTGGGACACTCTGATGAGTGCCCCAGTGTGTGCACGCTAACAGACCACTCAATTATCTCCGGCCTCTCTGTTCGATGCTTACTCCTCGATCAACTCCACCTCCCAGTTCATCTTTTGGATTCGCGTGTCCAATGTCCGGTACTCGCCTGCGAGCTTGTCCACCTGCTTTTGCATCTTCCGCACATCAATCACACTCACATACTTAATCTCACTGCGTGTGTATCGATCTTGCGCTGTGCTCGCCTTTGTTGCCACGTCGGAATACAGCTTTCGCCGCTTGAGTGCCATGTCTCGGAATGCAGTCGCATCTGTGTGTGCTTGTCGTCAAACATGGTTTGTGTGTTGGTCTTGTTGACGCATCAGATGAGCCAGTCCATTCGATCTAGAATGCCATTGGCGGAGACGAGGAGCTCGTTTGGTTCCTCTACTGGTTGGTTGCCCTCTTGTACTCGCACGACTCGCAGGAGCCGCTGCATCAGCTGCTCATATCGGCGCTGTGCCTTGGCTCGCTCGGCTAATGCCTCAGCTAGCAGCATGAGGAGCCGTGATTCCTCGGGGAGGCGCCTTTTTATACCTTGCGTATCCACTCATTCGTGCATCGAGTCATAGTATGACTCACGCTATGTGACTGTTTAGAACAAGAGTGATG